TCTTTAGGCCCCCAGTTAAAATTTTCAAAAGCACTTGAGTGACTAAAGTCATTTTTGAAAATTGGACTTGGAAATCTAAGCTCAGATTTTCAAAGGTAATTAAGCTCCTAAAGAGACAGTTGCCAACTCAGATCTTCAAAGATATCCATCTGATCTTTACACACCTTTGAAAATCTGGTCATAAGTGTCCTAGTCAGTTCTGAATGTGAGATGTAGGAGCCCAGTCCTAATTCCTTCAGGTTTTTTTTTAATTTGAACAGTTATCTACACTAATTCCCCTCCTTTCTCTTTCACTATCCAATAAATGCATGGATTAAAATTATAGGTGCTTTGTGAATATGCTGACTTGAGAGTGGAAAGATTTCCTATTGTCATGTATGATTCCTGGTAACCCATCTCAAATATGAAAAACTAGGTTGATACCTGTTCATATCAGGAGCTGTTTAATTCAGTTCACCATTTGCAGTATCTCATTAGGATGTTTAGTGGAGAAGATATTGTTGTTGTTTTTTTTATTTATACTGTAGGCAAAGCATGGGCTCACAAGAATTCTTCCATTGTTTTACCATGAGTTTCAAAACATTTGGGCTGTGTCTACACTGGCCCCTAAAAACGGAAAAGGGATGCAAAGCAGGTAAGTCAGAATAGGGAAATCCGCGGGGGATTTAAATATCCCCCGCGGGATTTAAATAAACATGTCCGCCGCTTTTTTCCGGCTTGGGGAAAAGCCGGAAAAAAGCATCTAGACTGGCCCGATCCTCCGGAATAAAGCCCTTTTCCAGAGAATCTCTTACTTCTACTTCATTTTTTATTGAAAAAATTGGATAGTTTGCAACTGAAAATATTTGACCTACACTTAAGGCAACTGATTTAATTTTGTGTAAAATTTTGCATAATAAAGGATGGCATTTTTTGTTGAAAATGTTCAATTATATAGATTATACATTTTGAACAGATCAAGATGTGATATTTGTGTGTGGTTGTGTGGTTGGTTTTTTTTGCTCAAAAAAAATCCTGGGTGAGGGTGGCGGGGGCCCCCACCAAAACGGTACAAATTGGGCCCCACCCTTCCTAAAGCCAGCACAGTTTTTGCGACCATTGTGGTTTCTGTCATGCATACATGACATTCTGTGCCAGTCCTGGCAGAGAGAATACATATTCACCAGCAGCAGACACAATTTTCTCCAGTCTGGATCCTAGTTGGAGAAAGCAGGGGACTGAGTAATCGGTGCGGACTAGGGTGCTGACACGAGTTAAACGAATGAAGATATTTGGGGCTTGTCTGGAGGAGCATATAGGCTAATGGGGTGGGGAAAGCAAAAGTAGGCGGGTGAAGGAGCCTGGACAGATAGGCGAGGGGCGGTTGTTGGGAACCAT